ATATATATATATACACACACATAGGATCTCTATCTAAAGCTTATTCGAAAATGGTCTTTTTATTCACTGTAAAAAAGTTTTTCTTAATTTTTTGAAACAATGAGACATAAAATTTGATATCATAATATGAAATTTGTCTGAATATGATTTCTGATATTCGTTTTTAAGAAATCATTGAGCAAAGTAAATAAAGTCGCTATTTTTTTGACCAACAATAGTAGCGAAGGCGAGAGGCATTTTATATTGTATAAAAAAATTTATATAAATACATAACATTTATGGAATATCTTATATAAAAGTGAAATAAATGTTCATAAAAATTTTCATAATGGTGAGCACTAATGTGAGCACTCATTATACTCATTATATAGTGAACACAATTGCAATTGGAGAACGTCCTTAAGAAAGTGTAATGCAATTCAGTTTTTATCTAAGATTATTTTTGATAATTCTTTGAATAACTGAGGCTACCGTACGGTTCTTTTTAATTGCTACTTTGCATATCTTTAACAAAAAAAGTATAATGTAAGAATAATTGTAAGTTTTTATATGCAAGAAATAAGAGAAAATCATAAATCTTTATAAATGTTATTCATCACGATAAATAATAGATTATATTTATCGTAGCATCATGCTACAAGTAATGTTAGACATTAAGTTATTACTTGTGCCTTGTTATAAATTTCGTTCGGATTGATCTATGAAATGTATCATTAAATAATGTATCAATCTGTGTAATCAGTGTATTGTTCAGTGTACTAATATATGAGTACATAAACGCATATCAATGTTAAGATATAAAAAAATTATTGACAAAGATTTTATTAAATACTTATTATAAATGATATAATTATTATAATATAATTATTTATCTGTATCTTACAAAATGTCGTCAAATGTTTTCTTAATGTTTTCTTAATAATTGAATTGTAATAGTTACCAATTAAAAATGTATTTTATGTAGATGTATTCATCTACTTATTTTTAAGTAAGCAAGAACTTCAGAGAAAGGTGTATAAAATATATATTAGCAAAACATTAACAATGATCAAAATTTTATGGAATAAATTATATAAGCATTTCAAAATAATTTCTCTATTTGAGAGGCTAAACTGTTAAAACAATGCAACATAAGTACTAGTACACCCTTGCAAATATGAATTTATTTCCTTAAGTTACTAGAGCAGCTTTCGCTTGTTTCCTAATGTCATCTGCAAGCTTCTTTATTTCTTCGTTATTTGCATGCATTTGTTGACTCTCTTTCTTTAAGATGCATTCCAACTGCTTTAACTGCTGTTTGGTACTCAAATAAGTTTTCACTTGTTTGTATATATCATCAGTGTTATTAACACTTGTTGAATTGTAAGACTCTTTCATGTATAACTCACCTGAAATTACATTCGTAAGAATATAATCTATCAATTCATTTAAACAATCGTTCTGTGATTAAATACAAGAAAAATTAAACGCGAGTTTTTCCAGATGTTACTTGCTATGCTTTACAAGAGAAGATTTAATTAAAATGAGTGACAGTATAACAATTTTTAATCATAAATATTGCAAATGTTTACTTGCGATTTTAAACGCTACGTCGTCTACCATAGCTTTATCGAGGTCTTCCAACATATGTTCATGGCTTGGCATGTGAGGCCTCTCTGGCAAGCTATTTTTCTTATTAGTGAACATCATCAAAATAATTAAGATATAAGGATCAAAATATCAGTTTTATCCTTTATATTCACCGCGTTAAATATTGTCTTGTTCAGAAATGAAGATTGTAAATTTATCTCCTCTAACTAAACTGTTTCTGTCAATACGGAATCAACATCCACGATTCAGACGTTGCTCTTCTCGTTGCGTTGCATTTTATTTAACTGATGTTGAACCTGTTACACCTTTTCCTTTTTCTCCTTTTCTTTCTAATATCTAAATATACGCCTATTTCATTTCAAGTGCAGAAAGTGTAACGTAGTGTAACTACAAATAACCTCTTGTTGATCCTGAAGATCTTTGTTAGCTTGACTGTGACGAAAAAGAATTTAGTGCCAGATATAGAATACAAATCAAAAACAATTCTGTATTTAGCAAAGAAAATACGAAAATCTACATAAAAACGTATGTAATCAGTTAATAATCTTTATCGATTATTGGAAAATATTATATATTTACTTACATCTTATCCATATGGTATGTCCACATATCATTTTGCATATTGATTGTTTTATTGAATTAATTTTTTTTATTAGATGCCATCCGTAACATTAAAAGATGTGGATCAAGCAAAATTTGTTAAGGCCTTTGCAGCCTTTCTGAAAAAGTGAGTAAGGAAATATAAATAGAATGTAACCTGTAAATAAAATAACAAGTAGAATATTTAAAATGTAATCTACCTCTTGTGATTATATCTAACATAAAGTTTTATTATTTAAAATTTATGTTTTTTTATATTTCTTTTTTTCTTTATAATAGTAAAAATTTTCCATTTTATATATTGAAGTTTTTTTAGCAATAAACATGTAACACAAAGCACCAAGATATGCAATTCGAACTTCATAAAATTTTAGAACTGGTAAGATGCGAGTGCCAGAATGGGTGGATATTGTGAAGACAGCCAAATTCAAAGAGCTGGCACCCTATGACCCTGACTGGTACTATATTAGATGTGCAGCCTTGGTGCGTCATATTTATATTCGTAGTCCTGTTGGAGTTGGTGCAGTCACAAAGATCTTTGGTGGACGCAAACGTAACGGCACTCATCCCAGCCACTTCTGTCGATCAGCAGGCAGTGTCGCGAGAAAAGCACTTCAGAGCCTGGAGCAGTTGAAACTTATCGAGAAGGCACCTCTCGGTGGACGTAAACTGACCAGTCAGGGACGCAGGGACTTGGATCGTATTGCTGCACAAGTTAAAGCTAAGAGCAAAAAGCAGCTTAAGCTTCAAGATGCAATTGTAATTTAATATCCTTCTTCTATAATAAAATAAAAAACGTAAAATCTCAGTTCTTTTCATTAGATATACCCTGCATATAATTTTGATAAAATTTATTGAATAATCTTCAAGAATATTATTGAAAATAAAAAATTTGTCGGATGCCTTATCTGCATAAAAATAAAATTGCAGGAAAATCGGATTTAGGAAAAAACTGTGTTATCACAGTACAAATATAAAATGCGTAGACTTATTTAAAATAATGTAATCATTCATATATATTTGCATTCACACATGAGAAAAATTTCGTTTTGATGATTTCATGCATTGGAACGTGTTAAATGTTTATTATTATTACAAATTACAAATTGATGTAAAGTATTACAGGACAATGATCGCTGCCGTAAACATCCTTCCTTATAATATTATCGCACACTTTATTTTTAATCCGTTCTGATATCAAGAAGTAATCTAGTCGCCTGTATATAAAAAATTTTAATCAATGATATAAGATAAGTATAACATAATTATATAACATAGTTTTTACATATATATATTATAATTAGATGAAAGTAATAATGCTAATAAAAATAATTTACCATCCAATGTTCTTACTACGTGCATTGGCAAAATACGACCAAAATGTATATGCACCCTCTGTTTCAGGATACAATGATCTAAATGTATCTATAAACCCGGCAGCTAAGAAATCAGTCATATCATCTCGTTCTTCTTCAGTAAATCCAGCATTGTTAGTATTTGTTTTGGGATTTTTTAAATCTGGAAATCAATGATAACAAATTAACATTTCTATTGTTTCATTCACATACTAATCTAATATTGATATTTTATATTTAAAAAATTAAAATTAAATGTCTAATATTAATAACATTACGCAATAATAAAGAGATTCATTTCGTTTCAATATTGATACTATACCAATTTCTTGATGAGCTACATTCATGTCACCGCATATAATAACAGGTTTCTTTTGATCTAATTCTTTAATATGTTTTTTGAATAATTTATTCCACTCCAATCGTTTTGGTAATGTCACCAACTTCTGTCCAGCATTTGGCACATCTGTTACATTATATTCTAGTTAGTAAATATCAAACATTATTTTTGATGAAATTACAAATATTTCAGAAGAAATAAAATTATTTAATTTAAAAAAATTAATTATTAAAATGTTTACACATTACATAGTATATTGAATTGTACATGTATTTTGATTTTTGTAATAATATAATTGGAGTTTATTTTAAGAGAATTAAGTAACTTTCTCTTACAAACGTTGATCACGAAAAATTCTGGGAACTCCACCGTGATAATTCTACCCTCGGTATCAAAGGTAGAATCATTTAAACCATATTTCACAGAAATCGGTTTTTCTTTGCTGAACAAAGCAACTCCACAATAACCTGGTTTCTTACCTATTGAAGCATACTTATTAATTATATGATTTATTTGTGTGTGTGTATGTGTATTTTTAGTGTGTTTTTCTTGAAATATATCTTACTGTCAAGAAAATAGTGATGATATCCTGGCAATTTGACTTCGTCTGGCATTTTACCCTTGTCACATTTTGTTTCTTGCAAAGCAATTATATCTGCATCTTCTTTGATAATATAGTCGAGTCCATGTTTCTGATTAAATATAAATAGAAGAATCATTATAAGTATGATACATTAAGAAAATATACTTGTTGACATAATGTATAAATACCTTAATTACAGCCCTGATCCCAGAGACATTCCATGTACAGATCTTCAGATTATGCTTCTTTCCTTCCTGATTTGACTTTGTACATCCAAAATCTATTTCATCCAAATTTGTGTCTGTCTTATTTTTCATTTGCTTGGGTTCATTTTTCACCTTCTTTGAGGTAGATGAATCATCAGTGCTTTTTGATGCCTTTGAATCAATTTTTGTCCTCTTTGGAGCAGGTTCATCATTTGTATCATTTACACGCTTTTTATTTGAAATTCCATTTTCATTTAATTTTTGTGTTTTCTTACCGGGTTTAGCTTTGGGAGAATCAGCCTAATTTCAAGGGAAACTGATAAATAGTCTAGTAATTTTTTTATTTATTAATATAAAAAGTTATGGAAATAAGTATAATTATCTGATGAATAGTTAATAAATAGAAAATTTTTTGTAAATAATATGATAATTATATCATGATTTTCATACAAAAGGATACTTCAATGGATACTTTAATGAGTGTATAATTAAAGAATTAATAATTAAAGAAAAAATATTAAATACATTTGCTTATTTAGTACATAAGTTAATTTTGCATGCATATATTTACCTTTGGTTTTGAACTTTGTTTTCGTGGCATGCTGAAACTTTGCTGTTTGTGAAGAGAGAATACTGTGCAAGATATAAACAGTATTAATGTCTAATGGTTAGCAAGTTGTATCAATGCTTCTAAATAATCTTTCAACTTAATAACATCGATACTGCAAGTGGAAGACACTGGAAATGTATTTTCGTTTCAATTATTTGTAATAATGTTAAAAATGCCGGTACGATTTGTCTTTGTTTGTATGATTGAAAGTTTAACTTTCAAAATTCTCAACCTCATCGACGAGTATAATAAACGTAAAATTGCTACTGCGTCATAACTAACATTACAGTTATTAAAGAGATTTCATTATCTGCTCTTAATCGATAAATACATAGCCTAGTCGTAGCGTCTAACGGTTCAACCGACTCCTCCGAATCTCGGCCCAGCCTCCACTTACAACCTCAGTGATCGCGTCGATCGCGATTAAAAGAACGATGCCGACTTTAATTTATGATACCTTTTTTTTACAGACCTGAATAATATCCGTACGCGTAACCGGAAGGGACGCAATGACACGACACAGCCTATGCAACTTCAAATTTAGTGCCATTCAGCACTATGTTGGTGTACAGGGGTCCAAATCCAAACCGTTCAATCTTTCCTCCCTTGGGAAACAATTTTCAGCGCCACTGTACGTATTTTGTTGACTACTTTTTGATTCGGAAGATGAAAAGAAATATTATGTTATATAGGTAATATCGCTTTTTTTATTAGTATTCGTATTTCTTTGTGTGTATGTAAGCAACATTATTAAAAAAAGCGAATATATATATATAATGCAAAATATTATTTTTTTGTTATCTAATATATTTTTTCTATATTTTATTTTATATTTAGATTTTTTAAATTAATTATTTAATAAAATGATTAATTTGCCTGTATGATTTAGACGAGTGTCAAGATGTTGACTTTGCAGATATTATTTTGCTGCATCAGTGCTATATGAGAATCTCATATGTATTACTATCCTACAATTTCTTATCTAACAGATAAATTCAAATACTGAAGATAGCATTTCTACAATTGAGCAGATTGAATGATAGAAGTACTTATAACTTTTTTTATAATAGCATATATTTCCACAGAAATTGAGATATTATTGTCGAATTGCCTTTTCAGAAAAGATCATTCAAATAATTATTTCAGAATTATTGCAGTAGTATAACGTACGATTATCTAACATGTTAATTTTTGTTTTATATAAAACATACATACGCAAGATGTTTCTTCTTCATTTAAAATATCTTCGTTGTTTTTGATGCTACGAAAAAATATCATAAGATCAAAATTTTTTTGAAACTTCAAGATTTACCTCCACTTTTTAAAATGGAATTGTATAATTTTTTTACATAATGTGATTCCTCTAATTATTCTTAAATTATTTTAAATGATCAAATTATAGGAAATACCTGTATATCTATGTTATGTGTGTGTGTGTGTGTGTGTGTGTGTGTATATTTATATATACATTTCATTTGCTATAATATAGCTACGAAAAATATTTAACTCAATCTTATTAACAATATCTTTATGAAAAGCAAAACAAATTGATTTACTGAAGAATGAAGAAATAAAATTGGGCCTTTTCAAAATATCAGTAAATTCGCTCCAGCCAATATGTTTCAATATGATGCAGAATAATTACATAAGAATATTTCCGGGCCTAGATTTGTAATATTTTCAGTAATAGTTTATTGTATATAAATCAGGTATATATATAAAATAAACTTATAAAGATTGTATACACTTAAATTACGCGGCATCGCTGTCGGTCAGAAACGCCAGACCCTTCATTCACGACAACAGCGGTCTTGGGTATTCTCGAAGAGAGACTTTGGCGTTGTATCGCAAGGCAATCACAACGGTGGAACCGTGACACAAAATAGGATGCACGAAACGTTGCTTAAAAAGGAATGTATCTTAACGTGAATTAAACATCCTAGAATCCTCGATATCACTCCGTGATATCATGCCATTGACGATATTGAGAAGCTGTATCGTTAAAAACGCAAGATAATACCAATGATACTGCAAAATCGAATCATTTGCAATGATTGAATCCAGAGAATTTCTAGATCGATCATGATCTAGAATAATCAAGATTTTCAAGGTTCCTGATATATTTACTGTAACTATATTTAATTAAATTATAACATCTCACGTGAGAAAAATGTACATAATTAAATCTAAAATATAAATCATATGGTACAAATTGCGCAAATTTCTATTGTCGCTAATCGCCGCTAAAATTTATATGACCGTCCGAATGTTTCGATCCTCGAGATCTTATCGTTACTCTGAGACTGCTTTTTCTCGAATTATGAATAAGATCTGTCGATTGTTCGTATAATTGTTGTAAAACAAAGCACTTGTACAGGCACGTTCAGTGTAAGTACTAATATCAATAGCCTCGCGTAACAAACACTTCAACGTTGTACGTTTGCAATTATGTAGTAGAAAAGTTTTCAAGGCTAATTAACAGTCAGAAAAATCGACACAATATACAGTATGGAGTATATACATATGTACGCACATTTCGTATACAATCTATAAACACAATCCTCTTTTTTCTCTCTTTCACACATAATACGAGGCACATGCTGTGATATAATCTAGATCTGTCCACTTTCTCTAACGTGATCCAAATCTTCATTTCTCAGGTTCATCAGGATGCTCTGTCTTAATATGATGGGCAAATGTATACTGCGTCGTGAAGCGTTTCTTGCAATACGGGCACTGATATGGCATTACGGGGTGTGCAGATCTTAAATGAGCCACGGCTAATTCTCTCAACACGAACGGTGATTGGCATACACCGCATCGATACCTAAAAATAAATGCGCCGCATAGAGAATTAGATTTTCCAGAATAAGACAAACAATTTTTCAAAGCTCAAACTATATCACGTTACCCGTTACTAGTTTTAATGAGAGTCCGTTTAAGAGGCGGAGGTGTACCCTGCTCGTTAATTTCAACTTTTGGCTCGATAGGAGATACATATTCCAAGGTTTCCGGACGCAATTTTGGCATCGGTTCGTCGTCTGCTTCGACTTTAATTTCGTGTGTCTGCGTCTAGAATGTAATGTAGTCACACAATATAGATCGTCACTGGACATGTAGTTGAAGTCGTGCGGTATATCATTTGTTACGTACTGTACTGCCGCGCATGTACTCGGCGTGCATTTTCATGTGAGCGTTTCGTGACTGCGAGCTTGCGAAAGTCGCGTCACATTTGGAGCACTTGTGTGTCTTATTGCCAACATGAAGCGACGTTTTTAGCCGAGACTTCTTTTCAGCGACTTTCTTTTCAAGTTGTGCTGTATCCCTGCATACATGAGCGAGCAGCGATACTTCTTTGAAAAAGATTTTATTACACTTTGCACAGTGATAGGTTTTAGCCACCGTGTGTATTTTTTGCGCCTTATCCACTAATGATTTGTTGTAAACAGCGGATGTGTACAGTGAGGCATTATCGAGTGTTTGACGTTTATGACTAGCCTATTAATCAAGAGATAATTCGTGTTTAAAGAAATGCAATGAACGGATAACGATATGTAACAATCTTGCCGGAAAATTTACCTCGTGCTTCAATAACTGCGATTGTTCCTTAAATGATTTTTTACATATGTTACACGTATAATTCTTATGAGACTCTGAGTGTGTCTGAAGATGCGTTAACATTGTCGTGTGATCACTGAACCATTGTGAGCAAATGCCACATCTCGCCACGTTTTTATTTCCACCAGAAATGCGTTTCGTTACAGATTCGTCATCTACTGGGACATCATTCTTTTCCATTATCTATGAATAAAAAGGATAATAATTAAAATCAGGAATTAAAGAGAAATATTCTGATTCAAAATCCAGTCTGTATATTTTTCCTGTCAAAGTAGTTTTGCTACTTTGAACAATCCTACATTCTATTTGCATTTATAATTAATATTATATCTTGTATGTATGTATATATTTGTAGGATTTTAAAAAATTAGGGAATAATATCAAATATAATTTTATTGTAACTATATATTGTAAAAGGCATTTAAATGAAAAAATATTATTTCATTGTGACAACAATGAAGTATGCAGAAATAAATCCAAACATTTCCAAGATGATAAATACGAATCCAAATCACTTTGTTATGAGCCAAGTAAACGATAATTCATAATCAGAGAAAAAGATTTCAAACCTCGGAATAAGATTTCTTGATACTGCGAGATTTAGCTTCTCTTGCTTCTCTTGCTTCCCTCTCAGCATTTAAGGCTTCTTCTTGCTCGACTGCTGACAAAATTGGTGACATCATTGGCTGTTCATTATGCTCAGCTATTCTATGCCCAGCTAAGCGTATGAAAAGTCCGAATGATCGACCGCAAATGTCACATTTATGCTTTTTCGGTTCATGAGTGCGCATGTGATTCGATAATGCGCTCTGCTGAGTGCAAATCTGCAATAATAAACAATACAAAAATCAATAAAGGATGTGAAGAATTTTTATAAAAACGTAAATGTGACTTCATACTTTCCCGCAAGTGGGACACTTGAGAGATCTTTCACAGTACTGTTCATCTCGTTTAATTTCTCTAATTCGTTCTGGTATCTTTGTAACCATAAATTCTGAAGATGGTAACTTCTGAGACATCACCGAGTTTGTTTGGTGTAACTGAACGTGTTTTTGATAAGATTCTACTGTAGGGAAGAATCTAAAAACAAATACACACAATATATATTTAAAAAATTTAGAAAGAAACAATTTAGAGACGAACATGTTTCTTGATGTCGCAAATTACCTATTGCATAATGAACACCGTGTATTACTTCCATCAGTCAATTCAGCTAAATGATCGCGCAGTCTATGTTGCTTCAGCATTTCCCATCTTACGAACTGCCGGTCACACTGATCACAGTCATTCAAGTTTTCCGTAAAATCCATCTTGACCTTCAAATGACTATTAGCTTCGTGTTTGGCTAAGATTTCGACAGATTCGAAGGACGCGGAGCACTTTCTACAAGTATATACACGCGGGCAGTGTAATTGCATATGCGTCATTAGACTGTCCTTTGTTCTGGAAATTACAAATTTTTGTCACCAAATGAATCCACAGTGATCTCGAAAATGTTATAGAAATATGCGGCGAGTATATGGTACTCACTTGTAGTAACTATTGCAGGGTGCACACCACCATTCGGAAGTTAACTTCGTTCCAGGTTGTAATTTCTGGTGATTATTCATTGTCAAATTACCAGTTAACACTTGTTCCAGAATACTAGTTCGTTTTTCTTCTTTCTTGGATTGACAGTTTGATTTAGGAGCTTTTGCTCCTTCCATATCAGGTATAAGAACAGATTCCACTTTTGTCTGTATATCTATATCAAACATCTCTGACAGTTTACGCTTCTTATTCAATGGTTCGCAAGTGGCGGTTTCGGCATTGAAAATTGGATCTGTATTCATCTCCTTGATCTCTACCTCGCAAGGTAATTCAGACAAAGTTTCCATGCAGGTATTCTGAAAATGATCCTGATTGACTTGATTAATCGGTGTCACTGGGTCATCAAAGGGCATGATGATTGATAAAGGAACCAATGGCGGTGGAGCTCTAGATTTTTCCTTGCAGAGTTGAACCTAGCATTGGAAATGGCAACGGTTAGAAAGCAATTTCTCTTTATATTTACTATGTTGCTATTTTTTTAAGAGACATAATCGACAAGTGTCATTCTATCTTTATTATTGAATGTCAAGGATGGAACGACTTTCGTTAATTATATCTCCTAAAAGAAGTCATTAATAAGAAATTTGCGATTATGTTTCCTAAGACAGATTATTTATTCAAACAAACCTGACACGGATCCGACGAATTCATCATCGCGTCGAGAAATATCTGAGCAGACTCCATCTGTTCACACTTGAGCAACACAGCATGCATACTCCTGTAGACATTTATGCAAAACTCTCTGAACTGATACACATCGTCCAGTCTAGCTGCGCAAAACTGACAGATCTGCTTCGGCAATGGATCGGTCTTGTATACAAGTACAGGCAAGCAAGCGCGCAGCTTCTGCACCACCCTACGTTGCAGACCCTCGTCGCCAAAGATCGGCAGCATCTCATTCCTCTCTTCCGAGCACAGCCGACAGACCTTGTCCCACATGACCCTGTCTGCAGCCATTGCTGGGTAGAGATTCGTGTCCATCATGGGGAGGAAATGCGTTCTCGACCTGTCGCTCGCCCGTAGTCAAGACCCAAGATACTGTGATCCGTGAATTAGGTTAGCCGACGAACCGCACCATGCGCGACGCTGGCACGGTCGGGACGCGTTGGCGCAGGCATACCCTGCCGACAGTGCCGACGTTCGCGTAGATGGTTCGATAATACTGGGAATTCGGGGAAGACACAAGGAAACGCGCACCTGTTCCGAAGGAAACGACTTCGCTTTCACCTTCCTCTTCACTTCGCGCGCAGAGAACTCTCAGTCTTCGGTGAACGCACGAAATTGCGAACCGGTTCCCCGTTCGCTCGCCGTTCACCGATGTCCCTCGAACATCCCGCCCCGGAAGTAGGCAAAGTCCTGCAAACTGCAAAGTCGTTGTAGCGCTCTCGAGGCCGTTTGCATCAGTGCTCGCCATGCGCCATGCGGACGCCAAGTCGCCAACTCTACAACTCTTCAGCAACTCTTCTCAAATCTTCTCCGCTACTTCCACTCGTTTCCCTCCCTATTCTTCCTTCTCTCTCTTTCTTCTCTCGTCACCGCTTAGGCTTCAATTACTCCGAACCTACTCGAATCAGTCGAATCAGAGAACAGAGCCGCGCGGAGCGAGACCTGGCCTTGCCTGGCCTGGCAGGACGCAGGACCACGCGGCGGAGCTGGGAGGAGTGAGTGAGAAAGCACAGCCAGACTCGGTTAAATGGGACGCTTCGATCTTACAACGGCCGTTTTGGGCTCGTGACGTCAACCGCGATGATCGAGACGAGACAGAATCCTCGTGCGATTTCCTCGAATTGGCCTCTATAACCCAAGAATGCGACCTTCATCTGTCTTCTTCCGGAATTGTGGCACTTCCGGATTTGTATTTATTTATCTTCCTTACAGACCACTCTCAAGATTTCGTTTCGTCATTAAAATTTTCTCAGGGCTGTGTTCAGATTTCTATCCAAGTGCCATTCAGGCATCATTTTATCCTTGTTGTTCATCGAATGTGAATTGAACAAAGGATAAAGTGATACCTGAGGAGCACTTGGATGAGACTTTGAACGCATTTCAGCGTATGGAATTTGTCTGGGAAATTTAAAGATCTTTTAGTTCGATTTTTTCATTTAACTCTATTCTTTTCAGCTGAACTTTTTGCATGGTTCATCTTTCCTTTTTCTTCACATGTTGGAGAAAAAAAAGAAAAGATGAATAGTGCAAGAGTTCAGCTAAAAGGAATAGACTTCAGTATGGCGTAATTCAGTAAGGTTTCAAGGGATAGAAAAAGATACTGTATACTTTTATACTATTCTCTTTTATAATCTTCTCTATTTTTAATAAAATTTATTGCACTGTTGATCGAACTTTTTTTAGTGTGAACTTTATTTCTTTTAACATAACGGACTAATAATAAAAGCGAGTGGACTGCTTAAAATTGCAGTGATTTACAGTATCTGTCGAATATTTGTTGTACAAAACGACATAACTTCGACGAAGGTACATAATACTTTTCTGACATATTTCATTACTTCTGTTATATTTTCATAGTTAAATCTGATACTCACAAATCGCGCAAATATCATATAAAAAAAGAAATTAATTCGTAAAAAAATTTAAGAAATTAACTACTAAAACTGTATCACTAATTGTTTATATAACTAACACATAATATAGTATATAAATATATATAACTAGAGTATAATTATGTTCTTTTGTTCAATAAACAACAGATTCTTGCATAAGCCCTTGCTAAAGTAGTAAAATGAATTTGTTATATTATCCCAGCGGTTTAGCGTCAAATAGTAACTTCAATAATATTGTCTTAAAATAAATGTTATCATTTAAGAAATTCATTACTTTCGCTGTAATAATAGCAACACAAAATACGACGAAAATTAATCGATTTATCGAGCTAGTGTATCTAATAATTTGACGTTACTGCATATTGTATATGCAACTTGCACGCTTTCCAAAATACGCGCTTGCATATAAAAAAATAAATCCGCTGTGTCATCCGAGCCGATTTTTTTTGCTTTATATCAGATACATACGAGTATACATAGAATTTATAATATAAATTTATAATAATATTATGTAAAGATATATTTATATA